ATGTAATAGGATTACAAAGTGACGCGAGACGCGGTAGCACTTGTATTAGGACTGCTCTGTTACAAAGTAAATTACTTCTACAAGTTAACATTTATGAAATAAGTACTTACGATCAAACCGAGGCGTCGTCGAAGCAAATAGAGTTAAGTAAAGTTATCATGACGAAAGACGGCTTGGTACTTATAAGATAAACTTCACTCTAAACCCGAGTAAGTCGAAAAATAAAGATTGTAGAATTCTTGCAAGGGAAGATTTACTCCGCTTTCACCGCTTCTTTTTTCTGTTTTTTTTGATATATAAAAATAAAAACCGGATTTTAAACTTTCGCGTTCCGTGATATATATTTCTAATCTATCTACAGAATACAACTAATCTGGCATTCAGATTGGATGAGGCTGCGCTGGTCGAGGGCACAGGCAGACATAGCTGTGACCACCGCCCTACACTGGTCCATATAATAATTATGGATCGCATAAATTTATAAATTGACAACGATATAATATAAATAATATAAATATTTTTTTAAATAAAAATAATTTTATCCTTCTACGGCAGGCACAACTTTTTCTTTATTTACTCGATAAGCACCATACAATTAGTAATTCGACTCACGTATTTCTAAATACGCTTTCATTAGTACTTCTCTTGTAATAGGTGTAACTATGTAACTAAATGTATCGTATAGAAATGAAGCTTTGCATGTTATTGGAATTCGAATGACAATATCAAAATTTAGCATCTTGGAGTTATTCTTCAGATGAACCTCGTACTCTTTTAGTACTCTTTTGACGAGACCAACAGATTAGGCTTAGCGATGATGGTTTGAAGGTGAAGTCAGAAAAAGATGGTGGGACTCTTTTGTACTTTTTGCTTTTTGTTCTGTTTGCTTTTAAAGAATGTTTAATTACTTTTTAAACAATAATTTATCTCATATTTATTTTTGTTATTTGTGTATGTGTTATAGTAACTATGGCTATAGATCCAAAGTCACTTTCGATTCTATCGAAGTAAACATACCTATTACATTTACTGTTGCCCGAAATTCTGCAACCGGGAACTTTGACACTATTTTCCCTGATGAACACCTTGAACAGGGCCAAAGCAATATCTAGATCATGAAATCCACAGCCAAAAACGTCGGATAACACTTTCGTCAACTTTCCCCGTCCTACTCGCACCTATGACAAATGTTATATGGTGTGAAATCAACCGTTATCGGTGAATGACGGCGTGGAACGGATTGCGAGGTCAAGGCGCGAGTGTCGTTGGCACTGTACCAGAGTTCACTTCACAAGTTCCTATGCATGACCCTCATGCACATTTCACGAATGCCGTGATAGATGCCACTAGCTCGTGATACAGATAAAGATACAGCATTTAATATTGTTATTAGTAGTTTAAATGTTGTTGGATAATCGTTTAGGGTCATATTGTGTACCATATTTTAGGACACACCTTCTAAACCTATCAAACCCAAAGTCTTATAAAATCCCGTGCCAGATACAGGTATCTAAAATTTGTTACGACCGCAGAATGAGAAGAGATAACGGATGTTTCATTACAAGATGAGAAAAAAGGCTTTCCGTTGTGGTTTAAATTTATATGCACACTTGATTTTTAAATGATTTACCAGATATCTGGATATATTAATATGGATTCCTTAATAATATAAAGGCTTGCAAACCAACATATTTGGACTACATGCTCAGGAATCACATGTCATACAGGTACAAAACAAATCTAAGAAATGTTAATGCATATATTTTTTTTAAAGTACAGAAACTAGTCTTTGTGATTTTTATTATAGCTGTTTATTATTAAACCCATTATATTGTAAGTTATGTGTACCTTAGTAAAAGCTTCTGAGAAGTAAACGATTTAAGTCTACTGATACTTGTTATCAAGACACAATGAACACAATCTACGATACACACTGTATATTAACAATAACACAAAGGCAGTTTAGAAGGAAATTTGATCAAGTTAGAGAGACATTTATAACTGTAAGTGGATTTATTAGAAATAAATCCTGGCAGTGGAGAATCTGCGGCCTGTATTTCAACGTTGAATAATAACTGTGGTTTATCTAATCACAATTGCAAAATCACCTTGAAAAATTGCTTTGATTTTTTTTCCAACATTACTCAACAAACGTACAAAAACTCTACCGTAAACAACCAGCATTCAGTCAAGATTGAGATTCACGGTTCGTTTAACGAATTAATATATGTTAAACAGCCCTGCTATTAGCTTGTCAACCCTACAGAAGCATTAACATTAGATGATATCATAAAAACGAATTGAGAGACCAATTTAAGATCACATGAGTAATCTTCAAAGACAATCACACCTCGAGTGAGAAAACAACATGTATTAAGAAAGGAATTCCTTTCCGGTAGCTTCTGAGAAAACCGGAATACTTGGCTCCATCTCACCGCGACCTTGGTGGCACGTGCCTCGTCCCACTGACTCACTGCTAACTGCATTAGAACGACATTTCACTAAGAGTTTACCGGTATCATTGATCAAAAGTTTTACTTAGAGAATTACAATTATCGTTTCGGGGAATTCGAGATTCTTCAATGGCTTTAAATGATAATTTTAAATTTGTAACTTTTCTAGTAGACTTTATATCTTTACAAATAGGTATCATCTGGCCGAATCTGCACGAAAGCAGCAAAAAGTCTTTGAAATTATAAAAAAGAACTCAACATTGTTTGATCACGTTTACCAGTGAGGTGCGAATGGCCTAGGCGCGGCTTTCCTAGCAAAATCTACCCAACAAAGTTCACGCGGTCACGTCACGGACCATCTACTACATATTTACGATGTAATAGTTGCACAAGAATTGGCCATGGGATTAAGAATACGGAGTGACACCACCCCTATTCATCCCGCGGGTGTCGTAAGAGTCGACTATGGGAGCAAACTACGCAGGTCAACAGCACTGCAAAGAGAAGGAAAACTTGACACAAACCCTATACCAACCCGTCTGGCCAGCGTGGTATAGTAGGCTAAAACCTCCTTTATAAAGAGAGGCCTGTGCCCAGCAGTGGACTATTATAGGCTGTTGATGATGATGATGATTTGACATATGCCGCGTATACAACCCAAGTAAGAAATAAATTTAATGGACTTATAGCAATGAATACTTGAAGAAAATTCATACTGTGTATTTTCATTTAATATCAATATTTATATAAAATAAATACTAAAGATCTTTCTTTACATGTGAGCTAAACCAATATTATCGGCCCACGAGTCCAAGCAAATACCTACAATGACAACGTAAATTGTAGCGAGCAAAAAAACTGTATGTATACCGAGCTACAAACTAATGTATTAATAACTTACGAAGTTGAAGAATTAAAAAGAAACCTTTAAAAATATTTTGTTCGAGTACATTTCATTTTTGAACTCAACTTTACACAAAACAAAGAACTTTTTATTTTAAAGACATCTATACTTAGTAGGTACATTCAGAAATGAACACAAGTAAACAAAACAATCTTTCTGTATGTCTTATTAGTTAGTAACAATATTTTAACATCAGTATTGTCAATTTCCCGTTAATGTTTTCATTTTTTTTAAGTATCTACTAAAAAGAACAATTTATTGTGCTCATAAGTAGTATGTAGATTGCTTGTTTACATCCCTATACAACAAAGAAAGATAATAAGAGAAATATTTCTTCCTTGAAAAACTCATGAAATGAACATTTTATTACACTTCTTTCTTGAAAGATCGATGACTGATTTAAATGATGACAGATGTCAATATAATATTACTATATCGTATGGAAGTCTTTCATACACGAGAGCAATACGGGCTTACACTCACTTGGTATACTGATAAGAAAAGATAACATTTACGTTAAACAGATAGTTTTCATATTACAATTGACGAAGACAAAGTGCTCCACCACTTATAAGTGTTAACACTATCTTATTTATTTAGACCGCACCTTAATTGGACATTTTGGACGAAAATTAATCTGATCTTAGTTTAATTAATAATCAATCTAAGAAATATACTAAATTTAAGGCAGTGTTTAATTGCATCAAAGCTTTTTTCTTCGTTAATGAATCCATATATGTGCATTGTACGTATATGTGGGTTAGGAATTGTGGGCGAGCGCAGCGAAGGTGAGCGAGCCACGTTGACACCTTGCCAATCTCTGGCGAGCGATAACCGGACCGTTTTTGCATTTCGTACAAAAATATCTTACCAAATTTTCCTTTGTAAACGAACATACCAATATGGTATTTAACATTGCCTAAGCTATCGTAATAGGTTAAAAGAATAAATTTATTAATTCACGTTACTTGTATTTTATTATTGTATACTATTAGCTACAGCCACCTGTCATATAATTAGTCTGCCATTGTTAGGCTACCAGCGGCTAATTAAGATGCGCGAGCCGCTCCCATTATGACGTGAGGATGCGCGCGAGCACGTTGATGTCGTATACACAAGGACCCACTCACTGAGTGACGCTACTATCCGGCTATAACGAAACTTCATTCGACATATGCGTACGTGGATCTTCACATGCCTCCAATATTAAACGTCGTTGACTAGATTAACTATTTATTGGAAACTTTGCGCACATTTCAATTACAAGGACGTTGCGTTTGTTTGTGTGCGTCGGTAGTCAATAAAAGATCACGTGACTTGCATTTTGAACGCTAACTTGTTGCTTAATCTAAAGAGAGTACCTGAACAAAAGGGGAACAAACACTTTGAGGCCTTGACGGGGACATTCGTTTCTTATCTGGGGGCGTTATATCTGACAAACATTTAGGCGGCATTGTTCAAAGTAAATAGAATTGACCTTGGGAATGCTTCGCCGGTTCGAGAGATAACGCTCTCTGTAATGTTGCCTTGTGCGCTCAAAATGAATTTCTTTATGTGCCAAACAAGTTACTCGTACAGCGGCACACCTTGGCAAAAAAAACCTATCACTGCTGTCGCGTTGCGTAATTTAAAAGATCACTGACCTGTGTAACCATGTCCCAGTAGAATCCGTCCAGCATAGACTTGCCATGTTGATGCTGCCGACAGAGAGCCGGCCAGAGCGAGGCACGGACGGGACTGTTGATTGGCCAAGAGTTCTCTCTGATGAGTAGCTTCAGATCCCGCTTACGAGCCTGTTGAATCAGCGGCTGGATCTCTTCGAATGTTTTGAGTGGCGCTTTCTTGCCTGCGAATAATGGAGAGGGTAAGCACTGTGTCCAGACAGCCGTCGAAGGATCGGAGACAGCGAGAGATTCCGCGCTGGGTGCGCGAAACGCGGCAGGTTCTATGTACATCGCACTGTTGGCGCGGGGCACATGCTTTCGGTGCGCGCGCGCCGGCGGCACTGCCGCCCGCCGCAACGCAAGCTCACCAGCCTCAGGAAAACACGATAGCGCGCCCCAACACTTCGATTGTTTATTTGACCGTGTGACGCATTCGTGGGTCGAACCGACCGACGACGAGCGCCAACTTAGTCATTACCTATAAAGGCTTAAATAATTTATCTATGATCTACAGGTATTTACAAAGTTTAAATTTAGTTCATGACGTAATTTATTCTAGCCTGAAGTAAACCAACAGCGGTTGTTTATCGAGATGTCTAAATTTAATTTATCACTCTGCAACATGATGCAAAAGATTTCAAAAACTAAGTACATAATTCAAGTAAACAACACGGAGATATTACACGATAATAGCATGAGCAGTTGTATAAATAGTAACAGAATCAAAGCAAAACGCAATGCTTTGGCGGCGAGCCAATAAAACGAAAATTTCGTATTGCATACGTAATCGTTGGTTAAATCGTTTCGAAGCAAAAAGATAATAAAATGTTGAAGATGTGTAGCTACGCCCTTGGTTTGACCTAACATTTTGTTTGTAATTTAAGCCCCGAGTAAATTATTGGAACAAATTGTCTCTAAAACAACACCTTGACTTTAAGAGGCCTATTGGTCTGTGTTTAGCGAACTTGACCGTTACACCAGAGGTCGTCGGTTGGATTCCCACCCATAGACAAATACTATGTGATGAGCACGTTCATTTTTTGTCTGGATGTAATTTACCTATAAAATATATGTATGTATATTTAGAAATATATTAGTCTTAGAAATATATGGCTACGACTAACGGGAATAGGCATGCATATTACGTTATTGGGAATAAACGTTTAGTTTTTTAACAAAATGATTTTGATATGTTTTAACACGCTTCTCTCTATCCCTTCGGGGATAAAGACGTGAGTGTATTTATGTTTCTAAGACAACCCTTGCAGTATACTATTATTCAAACAAATAATTCACTATCATATCATGACACGTAGACTATCAAACCAAAACAATGTAAAACAAAATTTAAAAATCTTGCTAGTTAACTGGACATGGAACAACAATTACATGGACAAAGCAATAACAGAACCCAATTAAATATGCATGAGGGCTATTGATTACAAAGCCTATTATTATTGATAACCCTTGCTATTTCATTCACAAATGTTATGGATGTTTGTTATAAATTCTATTAAAAGACAGGACAATACTACCAATTTAAAGTCTTTATCGAATTCATTATGTAAATAAACCGAAAAGTATCTCTTAGGACAAGTAGCTGCAGCAGTCTCGTAGACTATTCTACTATCTACTAGTAGTAGACTATCTCTATTCTACTCTTACGGAGCCAGAGCGCGCGGAACTCCGCCATCTTCTTCAACGAGCAAGTTATGCTCGCGAAGGAGAGGGCAGAGTGAGACCAGGAGAGGTTTATGATTCTCTCGGCCCTCTTTAGAGGTTTAGAAAAAAAAAGTCCTCTGTATATTTTTTGACCTGTCATAGTACGAAAAGTCTATATTGTTTGGTGTGCAGTAAAAATATCTTACTTGCAATAAACTTAACCTTCCAAGAGAAAAAAAAACTGGTAAAAAAAATGTATGAAGTCTAAATGTCTTTAGTTTGACTTATTACAGCATCACGTAATGTAATATTTCCAATATTCAAATGCACCTTCAACTACTATTGTCTCTCCGAAATATTTTGATCCATCTTAAGGTTCATCATCAACAGCCTTTAATAGTCCACTGCTGGACATAGGCCTCCCCTTAGAAAGGAGGTTTTGGCCTACTATACAACGCTGGCCAGACGGGTTGGTATAGGGTTTGTTTCAAGTTTTCCTTCTCTCTGCAGTGTTGTTGTCCTGCGTAGTTTTGTCCCTTAGTCGCCTCTTACGACACCCACGGGATGAATAGGGGTGGTGACACTCTGTATTCTTAATCCGTCACCATCTTAAGGTTACTTGAGAGAAATTGCAAGTTTTGTAAAAATGATGTACAAATAAAGATTTTTCTATCCATATGTCTACTCGTAGTCTATTTACCCTTAGATATATAAGATTTTTTCAGATACTTATCATAAAAGTAGTGTTTGTCCAATGCAGTACAACTTATATATAAATATCAATTTTCACCATTTTCCGATCTATCTCGACGAAACAAAACCCAACTGATGCGAAAGTGAGTTTTTTGTTTGTTACTCAAAAGGATCACATTATTTGCTTTTACCTCCACTACTGGCATATTTTATCAAGAAAAAGTACTGCTTATGGATATACGAATACATTCTCCAATTAGTCAATTTTCATGAAACAAAAATGAACGTCGTTCAACTTTTCTTGAGATTTTCATTACGTTCGATGTATTTTTGAGTTTTATTAGTACATCAGAAATCATCATCAACAGCCTTTATAGTCCACTGCTGGATATAATCCTCTCCTTGGAAAGGAGGTTTTGGCCTCCACGCTGGCTAGACAGGTTTTTTTTTAGTTTTCCTTCTCTTTTCAGCGCTGTTGCCCTGCGTAGTTTGATGAACAGGGGTCGTGACACTCCGTATCGACGTCAGAAATGTAAATATGTTATTTCTGGTGATGTATTAAGGATATGTGTGCACACCGGCGATATTATATTTACGTACATCCATGTGAATTTAACGACAATTAAACAAAAAAAAGATTAAATTATCAAAAATACAGGTCTCTCATACCCACCTTCACCAAGTTAGGGTTAAGTAAACAAGTATGATAAGGCGAGGTTATCTCGTCTGCAGTCAGCGGCCGAGCGCTGCGATTGACAGACATAAAATGTTTCATGATTACGTCTTATTTTGTCTTAGTGTAATGTACTATGTGCATATTCCAAAATAGAAACGATACTTAAAATATAAATAGATTATTTTTTTTGTTTACTTATTTTATTGTAAATATTTATTAGATATTATAGGGTCGTTACACAAAATAGATCCAGTAGGTTTATATATATAATATATATATATAGTAATCACGATTTGATAAGGTCTCTTTATGCACAAAACCCGCGCGGTCGGTTGTTTAGGCGACACGTATTTCTGAATCGCTCGCAATTGATTTTCATTGTTTGTCAACATTTTTCGGGCGTGGTAAACTTAGTGATTATAGGTATGACTAAGAAATGTGCGCTATGTAATAATGCTTTCGGCGAAGGAGTGCAATGCTCGGTATGCCAGGTCTACCTTGACTTCGGCTGCGCCAAACTCTCTGAGAGTGGATGGAAGAGGCTGGGGCCTGAACGGAGATCGTCATGGAAATGTGTTTCATGCAAGACATCGTCTCCAGCACCAACTAGCCATCAGATAGACCAAACATTCTACGAGAATCTGTTGAAAGAGATTCGCGAGATTAAGCTCAAATTATCTGATCTTCCAACTTTACTCCAGGACGTTAAGAGCGTAAAAGACGAACTTCTGTCTCTCAAAGCTTCCTGCGAATTCTCGGGAGCAAGACTCGATGAATTCAGTGATAAAATGACATCAGTGGAAAGTTCGGTTAAGGAAATCCAAGAGAAACATGAGTTGCTGGAGTCGGCTGTGGTTAAGGTTCAGAATGAAGTCCACAACAATGATCAAAGGACACGCCTAAATAATATCGAGATTAAGGGTGTGCCGCAAAGAAAGGATGAAAATCTATTCCATATTATAGATATGATTGGTGGGAGTATTGGGTATAATCTGCCGAAGATGCAAATAAATTATATATCTAGGATCCCTACTTACAACTCGAAGGATAAATCGATTATTGTTAGTTTCATAAATCGATATATCAAAGAGGAGTTTATAGCATCAGCACGGGCTAAAAAGATAATTAAGGCGGAAGACTTAGGATTTCAAGACCCGGAAAAGAAGATCTTTGTCAATGACCATTTGACTGCAGACTCGAAAATACTACTCAACAATGCTCGAAAACGTGCTAAGGATAGAAATTATAGATACATCTGGGTCAAATTTGGTAAAATACATGTTAGAAAAAATGATGGATCAAGACCGTTCATAGTCAATACCACGTCGGATTTAAACAAAATAATTTAGTCCGTGTCAAACTCTTTTTTATTATGTTATTGTGTATTATCTTTCATTGTATCATGTGTTCTGGTTTATTGCATGAAATGTTGTTATTAGCTTTAATTGATGTAATCTTGGAGCACTACAAAAGGTTTAGCACCCCTAACTCATATTATGTAAATGCAAGTTGCTATTATTCTCGCCCGTCGGTCAAGGTGTTATCATCTCATTTGCTCGCTCTGCCCGAAAACGCTATGTGTCTGTCTCTTTCTATGGTGAATCCTAATAAATTTCATATTGCTCGTTTTACACTAACCTACCGTCTCTTTCACAAATATACTTCAGTCAACCCACATTTCACTAAATTAATTATTAAAAAGTTACAGTTTACTATCTTTTGTATTAAATTACTTAAAATGTTATTAGCAATTTATCGTAACAATGACTTATAATTATAACAGTAAACAGTGTTATAAAGACTTTAGTAGCTTGAATATTTATTATCAGAATGTACGTGGGTTGAGATCAAAAACTGCTCAGTTTTACCGTAATCTATGTCTCAGTTCCTATGATATATTAATATTGACCGAAACGTGGCTTTTGGCGAGTATAAGTAGCTCAGAATTATTCGATAATAGATACATAGTGTGGCGCAGGGACCGGAATTACGATGTTACTCAACAAACTCGTGGAGGTGGAGTCCTTATAGCGATTCGTAAGGAGATATGTGGTGTACCGCAACCCACCTTTCAGTCAAGTGCAGAGGACCTCTGGCTTTCTTTACCTATTAAACAATCGAGTGCTAGAACAAAGTGCGGTTTTAATCTTA